GCCTATGTACAATTTAATGTTTCATTGTTTTGCAGATGGGGTCGAGGATTCGGTCTGTTGGGTTCCATCTTTGGGAAGGACAGTGCAATAAATCAGTCCAACAGTGTTTTTGGACTTGTGTTTTATATACTACAAATGCTACTTGGTGAGTATTAATTCAGTTTATATATCAGGTCTGTGGTGATAATAGGAGCCTGTTATGCATTGCAGTCTGTGAGAGACCAGATAAAATGCAAGGGATTTCTTTTTAGCAGTCTTATGCTACATCTGTGCAAAGGGCTTAAAAGCCCAAATGCTAATGGGAGCAATCTTATTTTCTCCTGCTGTTATTAACAGTGTAAAGCATGAAGACAGTTGTTGCATTGGTATTTTCACTCAAATGTGCTTAGCATTGGATTGCAGGGTAGAAAAGAGAGGAGACAAAAATTGGATTTAGAAGTTTTGCAGGAGTAATATGGGCAGCATGTGATGTGATAACGTGTGCATGGCTTTGTAACTGCAGTGTGCTGTGGCTGTTTATGTGGGCAGCCATACCTTGACCAACCTGTAATTTTCCCATAATTCAGGACTATGGAAGATGCTAAATACTGCTTATCAAAGGATTGTTGTACAGAACCTAGAAGCTCTCTCCCAATAGTGATTTGTCAGCCATCTTGAACTCATGGTACACAAAACTGACTTTTATGTAATGCAGACTTGCTGAGCAGCCTTGAGTTGGAACTGCAGTGCCTAGGCTTTGTGCTTTGTGTCAGGTGGAAGGAGAGCAGCAGTAGTAACTCTTTCTCTCTTGTTGCAGGTATGACAGCAAGTGCAGTAGCAGCTCTAATCCTCATGACATCCTCCATAGTGTCTGTAGTAGGGTCTTTGTACTTGGCGTACATTCTGTACTTCGTGCTGAAGGAATTTTGCATTGTCTGCGTCATCACATATTTGCTGAACTTCATTCTCTTTATCATCAACTACAAACGACTAGTTTATTTGAACGAGGCCTGGAAACGGCAACTCCAACCCAAACAGGAGTAGCGCCTGTTCGAACTTGTGACTGACAGCCTGAAGACCCAACTTCCATTAAGTTTATTTTGCAGTAATTTTTTATTCTCCATATCAGACGCTTTCCCTGAGATTCATAACTGAATTTTTAATTAGAAATTGGAAGGGGCCCTAGATAATTTTTTTTTTTTTTTTTTGTGCTAATCTTCAATTTAAATGTGGTTGTGAAAGAAAGCTGTAAAGCAATCAAAGACAAGCTTTAACTTTACTTTGAAGGAGTTCTAGCCACGGCAGAACCTAGACTCTCTCCTCCCCCTCCACTTGTAAAGTGGGCAACACTTGCTATAAAATATCCTGTATATAAATTCAGGTATAACGAGATGTGATCATGACATTAAATATTCTAGAATAGCATTATGATATTTAATGTTGCCATGTTTACAGTCTGTGTATTACATTTTTTTTTTTTTTTTTTTTTTTTAAGCTGATGGACTTAGATTTGATTAGGACTTATACTGTAAATAAACTTAGAAATCTTGGTTTCATCCCTGGAGAACTCACTGTACAATCAGTTTTGTTAGCTTAGGAGCTTTTGGAGTGTTCAGCTAACAGTCAACTGACGTGATGGAAGAAGTGACCTCTGTAGAGCACCTTGTTGGGGCACTCACTGCTGGTGCTTTCACAGAAATGACGGTTGGGTTTTGTTCCATTTCTCCTGTTCCCTCCTGAAAATGGAATTAAAGCTGAAACCTGAAGTATGTTCATCAAACCACAATTTCATTCATTTCTGTACAGAATGAAAATAGCTCAATGTGGTCGATAGAAAGTTACCACCAGGATGTGAGATACAGTGTGGGCTCCTGGTGGATCAGAGCGCTCTTGTTCCGCACAGCGCTTCATTTCAAATTGCGGTCAGACAGGCAGTGTTACTCATGTTTTGTGTTCTATGAATGCTGCAGTGTAGGATTGCAATCTGCAGTGGAAACCACTGAGAGAGCGGGATAACCAAGTAGTGCACCGAATGAGCAGATACTGAATTGATCTTTGTCAGGATCTTTGGTTTGTGCTATGTTGGGAAGTGAACTTTAGGCCTGACACACACAGGATCCTTTGGAAAGGCAGTCTGTTTTGTGGGATAAGTAAAAGTGCTCCTGAAATTGAAATCTGATGCAGTGCTATCATTGCTCTTTCTAATAACTAATTAAAAAAAAAATTAAACTGCAGATTTAAACAAAGGAACAAAATTGTGATGCTGTTTCTGCTCGCAGTATTCTAAAGCTGAATGTTAAAAGTGCCTTCTGTCTTAAAATCTTAAACCAAATACTTAGTGTTGAACTTGGCAGACAGAAGTGTCCTTGCTTTAAAAGTGAGCAAACAAACAAAAGCCCCAGCAAATTTGCTGGACGTAGAAAAGTATTAAGAAACCTATTTTAGTTTTTAGACTGAGAAGTGGTAGCAATACTGAACCAATGTGATAGAAGTCAATGATGTCATTTGGGAAAGTGAAATGCTTGTGTTTGGAACTCTGTGACACCAGAATATTCAGCTACGTTCTGTAATTGGTGCTGTGCTGCTTTTTGCCCTTGTCAGCTTCTAAATACAAAGAATTCCAACTGCATACCTGTTTAGTTAAAGAAATAGTTTAACTAATCTTAGGATTGTTTCTTAAACATGAATGTCAGAAAGACACTTACGTTGTATGGCTAAGTGGATTACAAACACTAAGTTGCTGAGGATGAACTTGACTGTGAAACATACAGTATTCAGTAGAGAAAATAGAATTTTTAGGTTGAATTCACAAAATAGTATTTGCTACTGAAGTAATTTTCTGGTTTGTATCAAGGATGTAGGTGGAAACTGCTTCTGTGTATAGAGTTCTGTGGTATGAGTAACATCTGTTGCATGTAACACTAAATTTCTTGTCCCTCTTGTCTAACGGTTTTAGACAGTTCATTAAATGCATTTTGTATTGACCAGAGTATAGTTAAAGCTTGTCTTGATGTTTAGTTCTGTCTCTCAAATGCCTTGAACTCTGATGTGAGGGGAGTGAATGATGCTGAACTGGTCCCTCAAGGCTCTCCTCTGTTCTCTTAGAAGCCTCGAGGCAGCATCACCAGCATCCCTGGTTCAGATGTTGTATAGATTTCTTTCGGTGCATTCCTGTGATCCACACTAACGCATCTTTTCACTGGAGGAAGAGGTGAACATGCGCTGCCTGACACGGTCAGCTGCAGTGCTGATAGCTCAGAGCAAGCAGCAGCGGAGACAAGTGTAATCAGTGATTACTTGGTCCAATTTGGGGTGTAATGCACACCCAAGGGGAAAAAGAAAAAGGAAAAAAGCCCCGTCAGCAGAAAGTATAGGTGTTGACTAACTCGCTGTGTCTTGTGCTTGTCTGTGTGGGCATAGTCTGTTAATTCAGTTTGTTTAGTAAAATTGTTTAGGGCCAGATTTTCAGCAGTCCTGTCTGCAGTTTGTGTCTGTGTGCACATGGAGGTCAAATGGGAAATCTGTTTGGTCTCTGGAAGAATTTGCTGCTGTATTTTGTGCACAATCTTGCAAATCTGGTCCTAATTGTGAACTCTCCTGTCTTGTGTGCTTCTCTTGCAGTTCCTTTTTACTGGAAGTGATTTGCTAGAAATGGCCCTAACTCTTCTACTTTCTCTCTCGTGCTTCAGAAATGCAGTTGGCCTGAATAAAGGGCAGAATTAATATTAGCAGTAGAAATTTGGACCTTTTTGCATCCAGATCTTTGACTTTTTTCTCACTGCTACCAAGGATAGCAACATCATATTTCTTCCAGTAAAATGGCTCAGATTGCCATTAGTATTGTGATAGAAATCAGAGGAGTGCTTCGTGCAACCATTCCCCTGTCTGCCACCCTCAGCCAGAACAAGTGTCACAGCAAAGGTGTGATCGATACGAATTTGCCATTTACAAAAGAAGGGAAGCTCTGAGGATACGGTAGTACACCTAAGTGCTTGTTGATAATACTTGGTCTGGCAAAGGGACAAGGGGAGAGCGAGTCATTACGCAGATGCTGGTTGTGGCTTCAACCCCATCATAATGGAGGGGGGGGGGAAATTAAGATACGGTAGTTATGAATTTGGGCCATTGCCCTCAGCCCTCCCTGGCTCTCAGAAGCCCTGCAGGGAGGGGCCGATTCAAGGAAGAACAACTTCATCCCAAAAGCTGTTTAGGAAGTAAACATTCCTGAAATCCTCTTACTGTAAGGTACTTGAAACTCCTAAGGCCAATGAAGCATTCAAGTCTTGTTTAGGAAATGAGTGTTCTTGGAACTTTCTTACTGCAAAGCGTTTGCAGTGCTAAGGAAGGCCAACAAAACATTCCTGCCGCCTCCGATATCTGAAGTGACAGCGAGTCTCTCTTATCAGGAGATTTCAACATCCTGCAGAACGCGTTTGTCTTCTGCTGTGCCTCTGTTGATTGTTCAGAGAGATTGGCGAGGTGCTTTGGGCAGCGCTTGGCTCTCCTAATTTATATTGGTTAAAGTTAAGGAGAGATCTAATAACTTCAGATCTGCCAACATTGTTTAAACGTGATCTAGACAAAACTGGTCCAGAAAAGGTGAAGTATTCTGTTACCATAAAACTGTATTAAGCATGGCCTAAATATTAGGTGTGTGTTCTGTATAGTGTGTTCCATCAACTATTTATCACCAGTGCTTTAAACTCTAAACTAAACATCCCTTTAAATGGAGACATTGGGCAGATGTTCCTTTTATCAATATATAGATGGAGAGATTCTCTTATTGCAGGCTTAGGATAAGATTTTGCTAACAGGTAAAACAATGTAAATATGTATGAATTCTATTTGTTGCACATAACTTTTTGGTATAAAAAAAAAATAAATGTAGAAATTACCTGTGGATGTCTTGCTGCAATCATTCTTATGCTGCATTCATGCAGTCCGAACATAAGAGCTTGAATGAACCCAAACAGAGGCCTTTTTGGACTCAGTCTGAGCCTTAGAAACTGTTTTTAAAGTCAGTACTGTAATTTTCTTTCTCCAAATGTACCAAGTTGTGATCTCTTTCAAAGCAATTGTATGCTAGCAGTAGAAGGGTTAAAGCACTTGGGTCCTCAGAGAATACCCTCGTATAGAACTGCGGCTTCGTTGCGTCTTGCTGAATGTTGTGTGCACATGAGTGTATAATGGTTGAGCAGCATTGAGGCTTTACTGTTTACAGTTCTTTCAGTAACAAGCAAAAAAAACGTTAAGTGTGTTAATCAGTTCCTTCTTTCCCTGGTTCTTCAGGTGTTTTAACTCCACTCTGACAAAATGACGGAGTGTCTGGAAACTGCTGTTTATTTTTGTGGATTTGGGGGGACAGGGATGGCGGGGAGCAGGGAGGATGGGAGCTTTGGGAGGAAGGCTTGGATAGGTGGGTTTTGAGGTTACAGTTGTACTGAGCTGTTGAGAACAAGCAGGAACTGAAACTGAAGTGTGTGCTTTCCATACATGTGGATATTAAATTTGGCGTATGTTTTGTTGGACTGAATGAAAGGATAGCATTCTCTTCTGAAACCACAAGTCCTGAGCTTTATTGTAGCTGTCTCAGCCCTGGTTTCTAATGCACTAACAATGTCAAATCTTGATCTGTATTTCGATGTGGCAGCTGTTGGTATGTCAGACTGTCTTGAAATGGGGAGGAGAATGGTTTTTAAAAACTATCTAGAGGGTAAGAAGTTGACACTGATTTCAAACAGTGGCAGTGGCCTTGAGTACACTATTCACACTTGTGTCAGGCTACATCTGAACAAGTGTCTTTCTAATATTGATAGACCTTTATATTCTGGGTTTTTAGTTAATGACAAGGTCTGTAAACCTAACACAAGTGTAACCACAATGAACGCTGGTAGTATGTTGTTTCTTTTCCCCCTAGAGGTTCAAGTAAAAATGGTTTGAAGTCTGCAGTAAACATGTATGTGCTTATTCTGCACGTGGCAATGGAAAGTGTTGTTGGGCTCTAATGTGCCACATCTAAAGGAATGAGAATTTGGCCACCACATAACACGAGCGCATTCTTTCTTGAGGTACGAGCAGAAGAGCAGGTGCAGAAAAAGTTGGCGTAGCAACAAGTTCACACAGCATCAGTGAACTGGGATAATGAAACTGTTGTCCCAGAATTCAGTGGGCAGCTCCTATTTCTGTGGTTCTGCTGTGGGTGATGCTGCTGCTGGGACAACCCTGCGAGCTTGCAGTAAGAAGCTGGCAGATTCTGGGCTCTTCTGTGAGTACTGGCACTACTTACTATAACCTGAAGTCTGGCCTTTAGAGTCCTCTAAGACTGGTGTGCAGCCTAAAAGGGAAGTTATTATACTACATTACTCCCTACGTACACATTAACTTACATATAATCCTACTCCAGAGTGCTTCAGGCCCTTATCAAAAAGGCTTAGATTGAATTTGCCCTCTAGAACTCTATTCCTGTAGAGCAGAATGAAAACTTAACGTGAAGGAAGCTCTTCATGCTGCAAGGTAAAGCTGCATATAATTGTGGCAGTTCTGGTACTGTGATTAAATAGTTCTAAACAAAGTTCAGTTGATGTAGTACCTACCTATCCAACATATTCCACCTTGCTGCTGTGGTATGAATTCCATACTGTATTGGAGTATGTTGGGTATCCTCATAGAACTATCAGTTCACACGCTTCCTGAGTTGCTGTTAACTCAGAATTCCTCAGCCAGCTGCATGTGTTCTGTCCAGTTTTAGACAAGAGAAGTTAGGTAGTCAGTGATCCCGTGGACGACGTGCTGCGAGCTGAGTGGTAGCAGTTAGGGAAGTGTAACTGGAAAACCTCACTTGCATTAGAGGGAATTGATGCTCACTTAGACTAGTTTGGACTTTTGAAGTCTTCTGCATTGATTTCTATTGTATTATTTTTGTTTTGTTTTTTGCTATAAACAGATACCTCAGTCAGGATGTCTAACTTAGCTCCTTGAAACTCTGAACGTTTGTTTTACTACCTGGAAACAGGAAGCCTACAGGCATGGCTGAGCATAGTAAAACTAATGTTTCTGATCTGCTTTGTGTCATAGTAACTACTTTAGGTGGGCTAGAAATTGCATTAGACTTGCAAGACTTGTGTCAGGCACAAATATTATTTAAACAGGAATTTAATTAAAAAGTTCAACATAGTACCCAGCTGTTAATGCCTTTTCATTTCATTATAGAAAGAGGATATGTGATTTTATTATAGGAGGAAGACAGCTTGATTCATTTGCAATCTTCCAGTATCTTTCTCTCAGAACAAATGCAGCTGACTTGGGCTGTCGTTGGCGGGTAAATATTCCTTTCTTGTTCCCCAAAACACGTGTGACCCCTGCAGAGAAGTTATAAAATAAAGCAGTTATATACAAAATGCTCTTCTGTCCCCTATTGTGAATTGTTTCAATGTATGTTCTAAATCAGGTTAAGTGGGAGAGACCTATGCACTTCCTTCTACACGTCAGATACAGCAGGGATTTTGGCAAAGGTAATTTGTGTGATCTGGGCAAGAATCACTGATAGAACAGAGCAATATAGCTGCAATTCATTGCATTTACAGCTGGAAGTCGATGACAGTTCATTCAGGTATGTCTATTAACTCAATCAGTATTGCAGCTTCAGCAGATGTTACTTCTGCCCTTAATGCCACCCTGTAACTTGATGATGAAGATGTCAGTTACTAATTGTTTGGCTGTTCTATCCCTTAGTGGTGCCCGCATCCTTTTTGCCTATTTTGGACTTGGTAGATAACTAGAATTAGTGACTGCAACATGTAGAGAGACTGGAACTGCATCTGTGTATGTAAGTTTGTCTGAGTTTTTCCATTGTCCTATTTGAACCTTGCTGACTGCTTCTCTCTGACAACTAAGCTTTTGAATACCTATGCTGGTGCTCTACAAATTATTTTAAATGGTGATTATCTGCCTGTATTGCCACTCAGAGTTCACTGCCCTAGCTTGCTGTAGGTGGCATATGCACAATTGGTTCTTTAGGTGTCCTGAGCTACAGCAGTTTGATTTGTGTGAGCACACTGTAGTGCCCCATACTTCATAAATGACTTACCTTCTATTAACAGTGGGTTAAGTGTCACAGTACGCCGTTGTCAACCATTGTGGTATCTGGCCCTCCACTGCTAACTCTCTACACCAAGTTAATAATACATTTATTTATGGTGCTGCATTATTAAGTGCAGTAGCAGATGAAATATGAAGCAAGCGAGACACTTCCCTAAAAGCTAACTGAAGCTCTGACTTGAGGAAGGCCAAGAAAGAGATGTAATCTGTGTCTGCTTAGAAGCTTCCCTTGTGCTCTGCCCTCCTGCACTGTCCCATGTTCCCATGTTCTGGCTGGCATCTTGGCAGGTGAAACAGCTGGGAGCTCAAGCTGGAGAAAGAGAATGCATTAAGCCCAGAAGGACCTTCCCTGCTGGCTTTAGTCACACTGGACTTTGTCACAGAAACCAGCTGTGTTCCATCTCCAAAAGCAGAGGGTTCCTTTGTCCTACTCTACAACACAGTATTCTATGTGTCATAAACCATTTTATGCTTGGAGTGAGAATGCAAAGTTATTCAGAATGTAAATATAAGCTTACCTTGATTAGTCATAAAATCAGCAAAATTCCAGATGAGTTCCCCAATCACATACTCTTTCCTCTTTTTGTCAAAAACAGAATGGTACTCTTTCAGCAAAGCTTTCTGATACTCCTCACTGAACATAGCAGGTGGATCCTACAGCCAGGAAAAAGAGGTGACTTTAAATGAAGGTAACTGTTAATCTCAGCAATTACAATTGTTTGATCTTTTCATGGCCACTGCATTAACAATGGCTATTTTACTAAAGATTCACAACTAATGAAATTGTGAGAGGAAACAAAATGTAATGCCAAGTTTACCTCGGGGAACGTGTGTGGTTTTGCTTTACTAACAGTGCTTTATTGTGAAAGGTGTAGGAGTGCCATCCCTTCTTATGGACAGTGGTGCTGTGACATGGATGTCCACTCCCCACTGTTGCATTTTCCACTGAGGCATTTTTTTGCAAATGCCAAAGTACAGATTCAGATTTAAATCTTAACTTTTAGAGATTTAAATGCTGTAAGTTTAAGTTGACAGTTAGCTATATCTTGATTGCCAGAACGATTAATTATAAAGGGAAAAGCACACTGTAGTTTAGGACCCAAACACAGAAGTGTGATTATTTATATTTCACATGGAGTGCAGCTATACTAGCAGTCAGAGCTGTTGAAAACTGCATACCTAGGGGAAAACTAAGCAGAGAATGGCTTCAGGATATTTAACACTTACACTGTGAAGTCCGGGAATAGAGTCAGCTCCATATTCACTCTGGATGATGGGCTTCTGGTAGGTTTTATACCAGTTCTCAAACTGTGCTGTAAGTTGCAGTGGAATAACTTCCAGATGGCCTGAGTCATGGTACCAGGAGAGGTAGCTGTTCACACAGATTACATCCACATAAGGAGCCTACAAGAAAACCAAGGTGGGAGTGTTTTGTCACAGAACTCAATGTATGCAAACATTTGTGAACTAACCCTCGTTTTGGTTCATTCCATGGAATTCAGCCTTTTCTCCTATCATTCTGGCCCTGCCAACATGACATATTTCCCATGAAGGAGATTTAAAAGAAGTTAGATTTTACAAGGTACTGGTGTATTAATTTGGCATTTCCTCACAGTTTTAAGCCACAGTAAAAATGTTAAACAAGATTAACCTATTTTATCCTTAGGTTTGTTAGAAGTTTTAATGTTTCCAAGATGTCTCTGGCTTGCTGGTACATTAGACATACTTACTGAGTATTGGAATATGATGGTCAAGTTAGTAGTCAATTATTTTGACTGGCAACTAAATTTGTGCATCAATGGTGCAACACTAAGAATAAGCATTCTGCAAGTTATATGCCATTTCTACCACATGGACAGTATGATAAAAGGGCACAAAGCCTACTAAAGATGAAGTGATGTTGTATGTAACTTGTTCAATGTTCTCTTAACATGTTTTGTAATAAAAAAGAAGTTCTAATATCACAGCAGCGTGCGAGATCTATTCTTTGGTTTTGTTTGCCTTGTGTATCCTCAAACTGGTCAGAATATGCTGGTAGGGTTGAGAAGAGTCTGTGTGTGTGTGTGTGTCTGATGCAACAGCAGTGTCCAAGAGCAAATACTTGCTCATTACCTTTGAAACTAAGGTCACCAGGGTGTTTTTTTCCTACAGGTGGGGAGTTACAGCAGGCCATTCCTGCTAACTGTAGGACAGCTTCAAAGAAATACAGAGTATAACTTGTAGCAAGGACAGGTATGTACTAACCTGCAAACTCACCTGCTTGGAGTGCTTATTGTACAGTAGTAACATGAACTATTATAAAATACTAAAAGTGACATGGGAACTACCACTGAAAGCTTTTTGTGTGTGTTATAGATCATTGATTCATGCTCTGGCCAGCTTAAAGCACAGTCAGTCAAGTACCTTTTGGCTAATTACACAGCTACAAGACTTGAGTTATGAAGCTGAGCTTGGGCTGGAAGCACCTTTAGACTATTCAGTATTACCAGACATCTGCCAAAGACTAACTAGAGCAGTTTAAAGAAGGAATTGAAGACAAAGTTTCCTTCTTTAGATTTCCATAAAGGCTTTTAGTGGTTTTAAAGGGCTTAAGCTTTAGTTTAATTACAAATGGAAAATCTGAGCATTAATAGACAAAATAACTGGAACAGCCAACTGTCACAATGTTCACAAAATCCAGGGGGCTGATTCTACATATTCCACTTAATACCAAGAACTGTTCTTTTGCAGGTTATTTTAGCTGGCCTACCACTACAGTATAAAGGGCTTTGTGTTGGAAGCCAAAATGTAAGTTTTCTTCTACCTCTTCTTCATAAATATCTTTAGTAAATTTGCCAAGGGAAAGGACTGGAAATGGTCTGAGGACGAATTTAACATATAAAGTATAAAAAAAGATAGAAATTAAAGTAAACTTACACCATGATCAAAAGCGTAATTAGTAGCAGACACAAATGTTACAGGTCTAGAGGGATCCAGAGCTTTAGTGTGAGCTATCAGTGTCCTGTTTGTAAACAATAAAGCAAGAGTTCAATGGCATGGAGAAGCAATGCAGACAAGAATAAGCTCACTTTTCCAAGCTCCCTGTCCTTCTGCTGCTTCAGACATTTAAAGCTGCTTTCAATTTTGTAGGCAGAGCATTTTCAAGTAAATACTGCAGAATCCTGATTGTCTGGTACAACTCTGGGTCTATTTCTCCAAAAACATTGCCTTATCCTTATGCTACAGCAGGCACAGGTAGGCTGCTATGAAGGAAGCCCAAAATGAGGGAAATGAGAGAATGGGAGGGTGAGGTTCTGCGGCTACCCCAGCATTGCAGAAGGGTGGTGGATCATTTTGAGAAATGAAAATTCCCAGTTCTCCCTGAATGCACTTACAGCTATCAGTGACAGTTTGCTGCCCCCACTGCAGGATTATTCTTGGCTATCCAAAGCTTAAATCTCTTCAGAATAAAACCAAAGGGTCTGTAGGGACACAAAGCAGTGGCTTTGAAGTAGGGTGTCACTAACATCCACAAAACAAACGACTAACAATTAACTGAAGAACCTCGTCTACAGAATTAAAGGCCAATTATTTTATACCTTTGCAGTAATTCTCAGAATGAGAATTTAGCATTCAGCTTTCTTAAGTAACAAGGTAACCTGTTCCCATCAGGTCTGCTTTTGCTTTACCCTTGTCTCAAGAAGAGATGCTGAGACCAAATAGAATCCTGGCAATTTTGCAGAGGTTTACTGATTCGGAGACCATTACGTTTCTGAACATTGGTTCAACATATGCATTAGTTACACTTTTAGTTTGCATCTGTGGGTTACTTCTCTGTGCCATCTTAAACATGAAGGTACACCTCTTGTCTAAATTCAAGCCTCAGTTCTGTGTATGAGCACTCACTTGAAGTAGTAAGCAGCTGGGGGCAGATCTGATGCTGGCTCGTTGGCTACTGACCACATCACAACTGAGGGCCTGTTCTTATCCCTGCGGATCAGCTCCTCCATCACAACGAGATGATGCTGTAGTGATTTGTTCCCAAAGCTCTCACTGAAAGGAAACAAGACTAGGTAAGAATAAAAAATCACAGGTAAGTTGTGCCAGGGGAGGTTGAGACTGGATATCAGGAACAATTTCTTCTCCGAAACAGTAGTATGCAGTGGCACAGCTGCACAGGGAGGAGGGGGAGTCCCCATCCCTAGAGGTGTTCCAGAACTATGGAGATGCAGCACTGAGGGACGTGGTCAGTGACAGTATTGGTGGTAGGTGGACAGTTGGACTGGATGATCGTAGAGGTCCTTTCCAATCTTAATGATTCTATGATTCTACAGCAAATGGAATGGATAACTCAAGCTTTGGTAAGCACCCATGAGCACTGAAACTGAATGTGGCTTCTGCCTTATTTCCCCGAAGGCTGCTGCACAGTTCAGGGCCATGGTTTGGGCTCACTAATGGAGCCAGGTCTGATGACACAACAGCCATGTGGCAGAACGCCCTCTGGTTGCCTAACCTCAGTGGGCAGACGTGGCACTGGGGGAGGCTTTAAAACGTGACAGGCTGATTTCTAAACAGAGCAAAGTGCCTTCATTATCAGGGTGTCACGAGCTTCAGGATGGGAGGGGGAAGCTGTGGGAGGGAAAGACATAAGGGGAATGGTGCTTTGTGGTTTGCTTACAGCAACTTAATCCCCACTCCCGGGCACTCATCGATCACCACGATGCCGTAGGTGTCACACAGGTCCATGATCTCCTCAGCATAGGGGTAGTGGCTGGTGCGGAAGGAGTTTGCCCCCAGCCAGCGCAGCAGGTTGAAGTCCTTCACAATCAGCGCCCAGTCCAGGCCTTTGCCACGAATCTGAGGGGGACAACAAATCAAATCCTGTCGTATTGCAGCGGAGGGCTTCGCCTCGCACCGCGACTGGGCAGCGCTGAGCTCTTCCAGCCTCAGCGCACAAGATCTCTCTGTGCATCTTTATGAGTGCAACCTCAAGCATAAGCTTAAGGCCGGGGTTGGGAGAAGTAGCCGCAGTGAGGGCTGTAACCAAGCTGCCCCTCCACAGTGCTCTCCTGAAGGAGGGAGGTGAGGGAACGGGAGGTGAGCGAACGCGCGGCGCTGAGGTGAGGAAGGCGAGGCGGGAAGGGCGGCTCCGCGCGGCGGGACGGGGCGTTCGCTGGGGCTGAGGGCCGCCCCGTGGCCGGGCTGAGCCTCGCAGATCCGCGGCTCAAAGCTCAGCGCCCGCCCTGCTTCTAAGGGCGGGAAACCGTTATTTGTGACTAGAAGCGATAGCCTGGGCTCAGCCAGGCTGTGGCAGCGCGGTGAGGTGAGCCTGCACTTACATCCGCGTCCTCGTGCTTGTTGACCCCGTGGAAGTAGAAGGGCTTTCCGTTGATGAGGAACTGCGTGCTGGTGACGTGAACGGTGCGGATGCCAACCGGCAGGGTGTAGATGTCCTCCTGCGGCACGCCGCTGGCCTCAGCCTCCATCTTCACCTGGGTTCCCAAAGGAAAGCTGTGCGTGAGGTGCTGGGGTGGCAGAGCCCTCCAGGCTGTCTATGGGTGCTGCACTCTGCGCACAGTAGGAAGAAAGCTCACTGCGTGGCAATATGTGTGAAAGAGGAGCTCAGCCTGCTTCCCAGAGGCTCTACCCTCCATCACGCAGCATCTCCTCCCTCGTATTGTTTCAAATAGTCCTTCTGCAGCAGGCAGATCAGGCCAGAGATGTGAAAGGCAAATACCTGAGAGCACATGCATGCACTCAGGTATGCCCTGCTCTTCTCACCACCGACCTTCCCATTCAGCATCCAGAGCTCAAATTGGTTACAGCATAACTAGTAATGCCATTCTAGAGATGTGGACAGGATCCAGGGGAGAGCAAAAATAAGAAAGATGGGCCATATGACTGTTCCTTAACGCTGTTATATAGTGAGAAGAAATGCACACAGAAGAAGAGATGTCACTGTTACCTCTAAGAAGTAGCGGTATCCAGGGCTCTCATGCATCAGATAAGGCCACCACAGGTTTGGATTTGGCACTTTTAACTCTCCAGCTGGCCCGCTGCCTGTAGCAACCACTTTCCCCTCTTGATCACGTAAACTCAGAGACAAGGAATAGAGTTCGCTGCCAACTACCGATATCTGATATTGCACCATTGCTGGTTCAAAGGACAACAAAGCACAGTCAGAGACTGGCATGAAAGGCAAAATACGTACATCCCATGTGGGGAAATTTTCACATACAGCAGCATTAAATAGCAAGGGAAAACAGCAACAACAATAGAAAGGTACAAATTATAACAAGTGTGACCTATCTTGAGGTCCAGAAGTTTTCAGGTAGATTTGTAATACACGAATATCTGTTACTTAGAGATAATCCTGCTTTAAGTGGCAGAAAGACTGCCTCTGCTGAGGAATCCTGCTTCTAGAAACACCTGATTGTCCTCTCACTTTAACAACAGAGTCTTGTGAGTACTTTTTCTTATTGTTTCTGATTATTTTTTAATCAGCAACTGCTGAGCCAGGCACTAGACCAGCTAAGGTTAAAACAAAAGCCACTACAAAACAAATTCAATTGGAATTGCAGGTTATTTTTTTCTATTGCCCTTGTCATCTCAATTTGGAGCCGGAGGTTGCTGCTGTAATTGCTCTGAACATACCAACACTCTCTGATGAAGTAGTTGTCACAGTAATATCATCTATGTAGACAGAAGGTGTGGTGTAAAGCACAACTGGGCGATGGATTCCAGCATAATTAAAGAAATCAAACCTGATGTTCTGTACAAAATAGTTCTTGGGATACCTGAGTGAGGAAGACAGGAAAAACGGCTGCATTATGTTTCATTACACAAGAACTGAAGGCAGCATATGGATGCTGGTAAAATGTGCTGGTAAAACAGTCTTTACAACAGGATGGGTCTGTATTTCAGCAGTGCTACTGATGCTATGCTGAAGGGCTTTACCAGTTAACATACATCTACTGCACTGAATGGGTTTGATCCTTCAGGACAGCAGGCTCTTGCACTTCCAGCTGAACTCAAGCTTCTCAATCTGCCATTGATTCAGCTTTGCAAACCATTTAATCTTAGTTCCCTGTGTATAAAACAGATGCAGTAGTTCAGTGTAGATTCCTCATCACACTGAAACTTAAACTTCTCACTGCTTGGCTGGCGAATTTTAGTAAAAACACAACCCATGCTCTTCTAAGTTGCACAGAGGGTCTTATGAGACAGCAGCTGAATAAATCCCCATTCTCTCATCCCTGGGTTAACCTGACAGTGCAGCACGTTAGTGGATCACCTTGTTTTGTCATTCATGTACTGAATTGTCCCCGGAGGCAGAGTGTGCAGCGTCAGAGTGTTGTTCAATGCAACAGTGATACGGCAGGGAACCCCGGGGCTGCGCTGGACAATCCTGCTTATATCTGCTTCAAAAGGGAGGTGGCCGCCTTCGTGCTCCACAACCTGCACTCCATTCACCCACTGCAACAGAAGAGAGCCGTGAGCCCAAGAGGCAGGGTTAAGATTTGGTAGCAGTCGTAGCAGCAAGAAGGGAAGGAGCACAGCAATGGGCAGTTGGGATTTAGAAACACAAACACAACCACCTGTGCAACGTACCACGATGGAGTAGTAGTGGGCACTGCCAAACCGGAGCACCACCCTGGTGCTGAGGTCATCCTGCAGCCAACGTTGAGGAAGCAGCACCTCCTTCTCATACCACACCCAGCCAATGTAGTTCTCCAAGTGGGGGTCCTGAGTGATGTCATTGAAGCTGGCAGGCACTGGCATGTCAATAACAGGACCAGTCTGGCAGGAATCGAACAGAACAGAAAGGAGCAAATCATTAAAAAGAAGAAATTCTGCTGTTTGGTTATGTAGCCTGTACTGCTGGAGGTATCCCCTGCCACTGACAGCCTCTCTAAGTGGAAATACTTGGAAGAACCTGCCTAGAAACCAGCGTGGTCTGTCCCACACAAGTCCTGCTTACTACCAAGCCCTGTTCATACAGGATGAACCTGCTGATATCTTTTCCCCTCTTGAAATGCTTTTATGAACAGCTCTGGTACCACACAGTGGGAAGGAGGGAAATGCCCAGGTGGCTGCTCAGCCTGCGATGCCTCACAAAGTGCAGTTCTTCTTGCACACAGCTCCAGCGGTTCAGTGCACAGTGCTGCAATGTCAGCTCACTGCCATGATGTTTTGTGCCAGGCCATGAGCCACAGAGTGACAGCAGCAGAAGCTGTAGAACTTTCAAGTCAGCACCCCCAAGGAAGCACTGTTTATACCTCTTTACATGGGCTGAGTGGCCTTTCGTGCTCCTTAAACGCAATTGCCATAGCGGTAATTCACTCGGCTCATTATTAATGTAAGGATTATAAGCAGGCAGTGTTGTAATGCATTTAACATCTCAGTAACCGGATGCTATGACACAACTGAGCCATTCATTTTTAGCACCTGCTGCACTCGTGATGTTGCAGCAGCGCACAGCTGGAGTGCTTCCCCTTTCCATGAAGAGTGGAACCAGGAAGGCCCTGGAACGACCTCCATGTGCAGGGCTGACTCAGTGCTCACACTTATGGAGCTGCAGAGAAACTGAATCCTTAGTAGACATCACAAAATGCCAACAGGGAAACAAGGACTTGGGGTGAAGCAGATTTTGTAGCAGCTGGTGCTATGAAACCTTTGGCCAGGATGCCCACATCGTGCATCTTCTTGAAGGAGATTCCCGGTGTGTGAATGCTGAGTGCACTTCTCAGCCCCCGCTGGGAGCACTGCTTGGGATCCCCCTCCTCCGGCTCTTTTCTGCCCACAGCCCTCCTCTCCTCTCAGAATTAGGCTAAAAACCGTCCAGAATGCTAAAAGGGGAAGGATGGTGCTTTCAGCTTAGGATATGCATAATCACTGCACAGAGAGGGAGCCGGGGTTCTCTTAGCAGATCGAAGTTACACCGTAACCTGCTTATCTGCACTCGGTCACTTAGGAAGGAGCAGCTAACAGCTTGCGGCAGGCAGGAGCGGAGCTCCGAGCAGCGCCGGACGGCCCCAGCAGCACGCGGTACGCTTCCCCAGCGCCTTCGGGCAGGACGTTCCGTGCAGCCCCGATGCGAGGCGAGCATCTGAGCAGAGGGGAAGTGAAACAGTTCTCTGCTCCTGGGAAAAGAGCCCCGCAGCAGCCGCTGTCCCAGAGGAGCCGCCCGCCCGCCAAGCCCCGCGCTACCTGCCGGAGCGGCTGCCGGTACCAGCGCTGCTCGAAGCCGGCGTCCCGGCCCGGCGAGAAGTCGGCGCGGAAGCTCCAGATTCCTCCGAGCTCCTTCAGCTCTCGGGAGGGGCTCTCGCGGGGGTACAGCATGCCGCCCCTCACGGCCGCCACCCGGCCGGCCGCGGCCGCCGCCACCAGCACCAACAGCTGCAGGCGGCATCGCCCCACCGCGCCGCACGGCGCCGCCGCCGCCATCTTGGTTGTGGGCAGCGCCCGGCCGGGGGGGGCGTGGCTGCCGCTATAGGGCCGGGCGGGAGCGGGCGGTGCTGCTGTGACCGGCCGGGGGTGGGAAGGTCAGCGGTGGCGGTCGAGCGAGGTGGTGCTGCTGGAGTCCTGAGACGTTTTATTCCGTTATTTATTTACTTACTTATTCGTTTATGTAATAGTTGTTGTTTGTTTGTTTTCTCCCGTAGACAACTGTGGAAGCGGGCGGCGTGGCAGCCTTTGGCGACCATCAGGTATGGCGAAGAGCCCAGATCACCTGACGGCAGCTCAGCCACAAGAAGGAAGGTGCTTGCTATGTTAGGAAGTCACGTTTGGGCTGACCTATGAACCGTGGTAACGTTTTCCTGTTCAAAATCCATCCCTCAGAGCTTAAACGGAAATAAAATAGGGTGGAAAGTGTTACCACAAAGGTCGGGGAGGAAGGAAATGCCATCTGATGGATTTTAGTTTCACAGGACAATTTTGGAGTGCAGATACGGAGCAACCTCTAGAGTGTGCTGCCCATAAAAGCTCTCCTGACATAGAGGAGATAGCTCCAGTTCTTTCACACTAGTGAACTGCATTCCTCAAGCCTCAGAAGGGCTAAGGAAGCCCAGCTCAATCTTGCCTCTTAAAAGAATACATAAGACAGAAGTTTCAGTGAGTTACAATACACCACAGTGTTTATTAACTCTGGATTAGTGTGATAAGCA